TTACCTAACAATTATTTACAAACGACTCATGCACTCCACAGTCAAAATAACTGCGAGTTGGGCAAAACATGAGTGAACCCAAGAATTGAATTTCAAATAAGTTAGGCCATAATATAGGTAACATTTCAAAAAAGATACACAAATTTGGGTGTTGTCAAGAAACAAGACATTATGTTGTCCCTAACGGAAAAAATACATTTAGTTTTTAATTTGTTCGAAAAAGATGCATTAATACTCCCATTCAGATAAAATGCTAATGTGGATGGATAAGGTAATGACGTGTCATTTAATATTTTCTTAATTTCCTACGTGTTATTTACGACTTTGGCAATAATACCCATTATGTGTTAAAAAATCGGTCTTTCTACCCAAATCCGGCCAATCTCGTCGGAAATCCGCCTGAGTTCACTAAACATGCCAACGTGGACTACACGTGGACTAGTTAATCCACCTCAGCGCTACGGGCTATAAATACACCCTCCACGTTGAGACAAAACTGCCAAAATTTGCCAAAATCCGCCTGAGTTCACTAAACATTTTCTCCCTTATTTTTCACATAAAAATCCGCCAAAATTCGAACAAAAAAACCCCCAACATTGAGACGAAAAAAACCCTAATGCTTCATGCCACAATTCAAAAAAGAACCCTAGAAATCAAGACGATGATTTGATGACATCCTCAATATACTTGCGAAGCAATAGGAATCCAAACTCTTCTCCTCCTGCGTACAGTTAGATTCCTTAATTTTCCTCCATTGATTTCATTATTTTGCGGCACCCGTTTGAAGTTCTTTATAAATTTTGTTTTTGTTTGTGGTGGTCCTGCATTGGTTTTATGTTTGGCTTTTTACAGACATGTGAGGATATAAGACATGTATTTTATTCATATGAAATGTTGTTAATTTTTACTGATGAAAGTTTAATTTTTTATTTATCACAGCTCGTGAGAGTTGTCAACTCAGTGTTGTTGTGTACTATGGAGGTCAATTTTGTAATGAGCCTATTGCTTACTATAAGGGGGGTGATTCAGTTATCTTTGACTATGTTGATAGTAAAGGTATGAACGTAGAATCTCTTTATAGTTTAACTGATGAGGTTGTTGGAAAAGGAAAAATGAGGAAACATTATGTATTGTATGGCAATAGATTTCATGGAGTTTTCAGTGATGCGGATGCTAGGGCCTGGTTTATTAAGCATCTACCTCTTAAGGAGATAGAAATTTATGTGGATGTGATACCAACTGATGAATCAATTGTTGGTGAAGACTGTAATCAGCACTCTCTTGAAAACAAATCTGGGGAAGACTTTCCTGATTCTGATTACAATGTGGAAACTGAGCAAAGTAGTGATGATGATAAGCTGTTTGAGAACAATGTTGATCTTAGTGTGGACTCAACAGATAAATTGTCAGAAGCATTTACTGAAAAGGATGGTGGAGAAGCATCTGTTGAAAAAGACTGTAATGAAGCCCTTGTTCAAAAGAGCTTTAGTGAAGACTCTGATTACAATGTGGAAAGTGTGCAAAGCGGTGATGATGAGCAGTTTGAGAATAATGTTGATCACAGTGTGGACACAACAAATCAGTTGTCAGAAGCATCCCGTTTAATAGGATTGGACAATGATGATGAATTGTTTAAGCTTATTGATGATCATTCTGGGGTGTCATCAGTTCATCTGTCAACTGAAAATGTGGTTGCACAAGAGTGTGACAATGACCACATTGAAAGTAACTCTAATGTAGCTCTTGTTGAAACCAACTTTGATGAAGACTCCATGGATTTTGAGTACAATATGGAAGATGACCACAGTGATGATGATCTATATCAGAATTTTGTTGATCATAATGTGGTGGAAAGTTCAAATGAGGGTTCAAATCAGGGTTCAGGAGAAGAAAGTGGCCACAGTGAAGAAGATGTGGTCCATAATGGGGATGACATAAAGGATCATATTGCCAATTATGAGGATGGAGTACACATGCCTGTATTCAATCCTGCCACTATCTTCAAGCCTGTGTTTGAGCTTGGGATGCTATTTAATAGCAAAAAAGAATTTAAAAAAGCTGTCCAAAGTTATGCCATTGAGAGTCACAGAGGTGTAAAGATATGTAGAAGTGATTCTTCAAGGTTGTATGTTACATGTGTTGCAACAGACTGCCCATGGAAAGTGCATCTAATAAAGAAGAAGAATGAAGAAACTTGGTTCATTAAGGAATTCATTTAGGAACATTCTTGTCCATGTACCTTTCAGGTCAGAAATGTTAACTCATCTTAACATTCAGTTAAATGATTATAAAACAAATATTGGTAGTTAATTTTTTGCCTAACACTAAAATGTAGTACTTAATTTTATTTAACACTTTAATGTGGTAGTTAATTTTTTCTTTACACTTATATATGCTAGTTATTTTTGTTCATCTACCTTGCAGGTGAAAAATGTGAAGTCCTCTTGGTTGTGTGACAGATACTTGAAGGACTTTAAGGCAGACCCCAAGAGAAGTGTAAAGGGTTTCAGGACAAGCACCATTGAAGAGCTAAGGTGTCACATTTCTAAGGATCAAGCATATAGAACTAAAAGAAGAGCACTCAAAATTCTGCAAGGGTCTGCAGAAGGGCAATATTCTAAGTTGTAGGATTATTCTGAGGAACTTAGAAGATCAAACCCTGGGTCTACTATCATTTTAGGTACCGAGGCTGATGAAAATGGAAATTCTAGGTTCAACAGGTTGTACATTTGTTTTGCTGCAATGAAGAAAGGGTATAAAGATGGGTGCAGACCAATAATGGGGATTGATGGATGTCATTTGAAGGGCCCACACTGGGGTATATTGTTGGTTGCAGTGGGTGTTGATCCCAATATAAGTGGTTCCCATTTTCTTATGCTGTGGTCAGTAGTGAGTGCACAGAGACATGGTCATGGTTCTTAACTATTATGAAGAATGACTTAGCCATGACTGACACCAGTGGTTTCACCCTCATGTTTGACAAACAGAAGGGGATCATTCAAGCTGCAGCTCAAATATTCCCTCAGTCTGATCACAGATTTTGTGTCAGGCATCTTTGCAATAACTTCAAAACAGCCGGTTTTAGGGGTTTGGCATTCACAAATGCCTTATGGGCTGCTGCAATGTCCACAACCAAGTCAGGATTCACAAATAGAATGGCAGAGCTTAAGGAGATGAACCCAAAAGCATGGAAATGGCTCTCTGATAAACCACCAGAGCAGTGGTCCAAATCAAATTTCAAGGATGGTCTCAAGTGTGATATGTTATTGAATAACTGTTGTGAGACCTTTAACTCTTGTATTTTGGAGGCCAGAGAGGAACCTGTTATCACAATGCTAGAGTGAATTAGAGAATACCTAATGAAGAGAATGGGGCTGCAAGAAAGTGGAAGAATAAATTGTGTCCAAGAATAATGGAGCTTCTTGAGCTACACAATAAGGGAGTGGCTGATTGCATACCAGTGAAGGCTGATGACATACACTTTGAGATAAAGTGTAACAATGGTGCACAATACTCTGTGAACCTAAAGGATGGAGTTTGTTCATGTAGGTCTTGGGAATTGTCTGGAATTCCATGTAGCCATGCTTTGAGTGCCATCCATTTTCAGAGAGGTAATGTTGAGGAGTATGCAGATGAATGCTACATAGTATCTAAGTATATGGCTGCTTATGGGAACACTTTGTATCCCATTAATGGCACTGAACTTTGGGAGGAGAACAATTTCATACCACCACTGCCACCAAATTTTGGAAGGGGTGCAGGGAGACCTTCTAAGGCAAGGAGAAGGGAGAGTGATGAGATAGTTGGGAAAAATAAGAAGAGAAAAAGGAATTTTAGCTCCTACAAAAGTGAGGAGGCAACAGACAAAGGTCAACTGCAGCAGATGTGGTGGAGAAGGCCATAATGCAGTCACATGTTCATCTACCACTAACCAACCTCCACCAGTATAGAAGATGCAGGTAATTAATTTAAATATATATACTGCTACTGTGTGTTTTAATTTCAGTTAACTGTAGGTGCAATTAACTGCTACTGTGTGTTTTGATGTGTGTTTCAGGTAAGAAGAAACAGTGATCCATCCCTTAGAAACCTAGCAAGTACTGTGAACCCAACTTTGTTTCCACCACTGTCAAATCATGAAGATGAAAGTATGGTGATGGAAGAAACTCCTACACAACAGTCCCAAACACCTTTGATAGCCACAATGCAAATATCAACACCTAGACCATCCATGTATGAGCAGTTAGTCAGGGAAAACTCAGTGCAGCCTACAAGAGCCACACATGGAGTTCAAATCAGAGGGCCTCCAACATTTAAGGAGAGAGACCTGTTTTTTCTATGGGAAGAAGCATTACATTAGCACATGAAAAGGTTGTACTTGATAAGGAGAAAAAGTACTTGGTACTTAACAAAAAAGGTCATGACAATGACAAGTGAATTTGTGTCTGTTGAACTAGGTTGATAATGGGTTGTAAGGGATTTTGTACTGGTTTGTTGTGGATAATGTTATAATTCTGAAGGGATCTTTTGAAGTTTGGATTTGCTTAGATCTTTTGTACTGCTTGATAATGTGCTGATTTGGTTGGTAGTTTTTATGGATTTTGTAATGGATTTGGTATGGTTTTTAATATGGGTTCTAAGAAATTATTATGATCTTGTAAGAAATTTTTGTGTACAATTTATGTTCATACATTTTGTGTTGGATTTGGTAATGATTTGTTATGGTCTTGTAAGGAATTCTAATTTGTTGGTTTTGGTATGCACTGTGTAGTTTGTTATGGATAAGGGGTTTGTTATGGTGTTATGGTTTTTGTTATGGCTAATAAGGGTTTGTGTGCAGTTTGTGTGTATATTGTTGTGACTAATAAGGGGTTTTAGTTATGCATTGTGTATATTGTTGTGTGAAGTTTGTGTGCACATTTTTGTGCTACATGTATTTCAGGCAAAGCTGCAGCTAAAACTTTCCTAATGGTTAAACAACTAACAGGTAATGAGAGACACAAAGCACAAATATGCCACAAACTAACATTTTTTATGCCATTACAATATCAACTTACAACCAAATACAACAATGTCAACTACATTACAAATATGCAGCAACCTAATATCAGTTATTCAACATCTTTTCATCATCTGTCTGAGAGCCACAAAAGAAAAACACCAAACTCCAAATTATCAATAATTTTTTTTTTGCAGTCTCACTCTTCAATTTCAGAATTTCTGCATTTAGTTTCTTGTTTTCTTCTTCAAACTCAATATTGAGTTTCTTCAACTTCTTGTTTTTTTCTTCAAATTGAAAATTGAGTTTCTTCAATTTCTTGTTTTCTTCTTCAAACTTCAGAACCTCGAATTTTTCAATGTCAGCACTCTTACTTGATTCTTTCATTTCATTCAATCTCCTGAGCAACCCAGGAATTATTTGTTGAGCACGGGCACAAAGAGGAGGATCGACCCATCCAAAATACTTGCATCCTCCTCCCTGAATTCCACCAAAAATAAAATACATAAATAAAAACAAAAATCAAATTCAATTACAAAGCACTTATTCATCTAAAACTCTCAAATATTGTATGACTTACAGGCCAATGGAGGCACGAGAAATATCTTCTTCCACAATTTGGAGTTTTCCACGAAGTGCGAATTTCAGCTCGCAACCCACAACGGCAATTTGGATTATTTGTGTTGTAAGACATCTCGTTAAGTCGTTAGAGTTTCACTCTTAAGTCGAATTTCTTGAAGGTTGTACCGAACAAGAAGGCTTTCGAAATCTAGGGTTTCTGCTAGAATATTAGGGCTTTTTTTTTTGTTCGAATTTTTGCCGATTTTTGTGTGAAAAATGAAGGAGAACATGCGTGGATGGTGTATTTATAGACGATATAGCTGAGGTGGATTAATTCGTCCACGTGTAGTCCACGTTGGCAGTGAACTCAGGCGGATTTCCAACGAGATTGGCTGGATTTGGGTAGAAAGACCGATTTTTTAACACATAATAGGTATTATTGCCAAAGTTGAAAGATGGTGGGTATAAATGCCAACCCGTCTAAGTTACTGGCTAATTTTTGCAATTTGGCCTAAAATTATAAAAAAAAAATTTAAAAAAAAAAATAAATAAACAAATAATAATAAAATATACATTTTTTACTTTAAACCCAAACGATAATTGGCCAAAAATTGGGAGCGCCACGAGTAGTCTGTTATTCTGCTTCTCCGTCTTCCAATGAGTCTTTCTTGGCTTCCTGACTAGTTTGATATCTAGCCGGACCCTTGATCGCTGGTGTTGGGCTGAAAGTGAAGCATGCTGTTGGACCCTCTTTTTGGTTTGAGCTCGCTCGTCGTCGTTTGTTGCCTACTCATGCCTCCCGACTGCTTCCAGTCACTTAGCTCTGGCGTCACTTGCCATCGGCCGACCTTCAGATGACTTTTGTTTTCAGTCGGGACAAGTTCAACAATTATTACTCATAGATCTGGATAACAATAGTCGCCGGAAAAAACAGTTTGTCGGAAAAAGTCGTCGGTTCTGGAGATGGTGGACGTCGTCAGGTCCATGGCGGCGCGGGGAGTCCGGAGATGTCCTCGAATTTCGGTGGGTCGCCATGAATCACCGGAAAATTGAAGAAGACGACCAGATTTTGGCCTGAATTTTTTAGATCCAAAAACATTGACCGGATTAATTGGTGACCTTACCAGTTGAATTTTTTTTTCAGAAATTATAGGAGTTGAATGAGGGAAAGAAGAGCTTCAAGATGATGCAAAAAAATTTCCGATTGTAGGTGGTCGACCGGCGGCCGGTGACGGGTGGCGGCGGATGTCGGCAGGAGGCGGCGATGGTTTCATGCTTTTAAACATATTTTTTGAATATATATATATATATAAATATTAATATTTTTTAAAATAAATTAAATATGTCTTTTTAAATATAAATATATTTTTTGTGTTTTATATTTATATTTAATAATCTGATATATGTATATATATCCTATCATATATATATATATATATATATAATCTAATGTAAAGTCTTATATTAGATATAATATACTAGATTATATGTAATTATTGTTAACGAATCAAATATTCAATAATTTCGAAACGAATATGTGCATATTCGAATTCGAATAAATTTCAAATACTAAACACTATTCATATTCGAATTCGAATTCGAAACACGACCGAATCAAAAAAATTTTAATTTATTTACAATCGTAGCGTTAGGTTTCTCAATCAAAAGATTGAGAAAAATGCCAAACTATAAGACCAAGTTAGAAAGTGGTCAATATCGAGGTTTTCTCGCCGTTCTCTGCTATGCATGGCCAGCGATTCTGTACTTTGTGCTCGTGATCTGGGTGATACTGCTGATGGCCAACACTTTGTTTTTTAAGAGTTTGTTGATGTGCCTTCATGTTTATTTATTTATTTTGAATTTATTTTTATAATTTTATCTAGGTGTGGATGTCTACTTGACAGTGAGGATATCACATCACGCCAGGTTAATAACACGTAGGAAATTAGGAAAATGTTAAATGATACGTCATACCTTATCTATCCTCGTTAATATTTTATTCAGATGGGGCAATTAATGCATCTTTTCCAAATAAATTGACAACTAAACGTATCTTTTCCGTTAGGATTGATATAATATCTTGTTTCTTGACAACGTCCAAATTGGTGTATCTTTTTTTAAATTTTGCCCCATAGTATACGAATATTGGTTTGGATGGTAACTGCAGTGTTGAAAGAAGGTACATTGAACGCATTATGAGGAAACGTGGATAATTTGAAGTGTTTCACTGTCTTAGAATTGATGATGAAAGGTCTGGACTCAAGTGATTTTACTTGATTTTCTACCAATTCACACATAAAGTCAAATATGGCTTTCAAGATCTAATGTTTACAGCCAGGTACTTCATTGTGTAACGGGATTGCTATTTGCATGTGTGTCACCCTTGTGTAATCCCTGTATTGCATTTGCATGTGTGTTTAAATAAAAAAAAAAAAAATGTATTATTTGAATGATAAAAAAAAAAAGTAATTTTTTATTCTTATTAATTAGTTGTAAAGAAATATATATCACAATGAATAACTAATAGACACTACAAAAAAAACTGCACTTAGTAATGTTTATTTTTTATTTGGTGACATTTATTACTGTCACAAATAAATTTACCCACACTTTCAAAAGTGTCACGAGTTGTGTTGCTAAATTTGATGTTACGAATTTATTTGTGACGCAACCTAGATACGTATGTAATCTTTAATACGCGACACTTTTTCAAAAGTGCGTCATTAATACATAATTTAGTGACACAATATATTAGTATAAGTAGTAGTTTTTAAAAATTACCCTCATTTAAACTCAATTTTTAAAAATAATAACTACTTTAACTACATTTATAAAATTATATAAGTCTAAAAGAAAATATTTTCTACAACTATTCAAATTTAATTTGAGTTTTTTCAATTTTGTCTTTAAATCCACCGCACTCTTGTTTTGCAGGTTATCGGTTTCTATGTTTCATCTGCCGGATCAAGTATATAATGACGATGTAGACTAAGCATCATTATTATCTATATATATATATATATATAATTGCTAGCTAATCCCATTTAATAAAACATTTAATAAAAATATTTTCACTTTTTCTCTAAAAGGAGTTGCATTTTTTTTAATTAATTACTCATTAATCTCACATTTAAGAAGGTTTTTTATAGTTAAATTTAATTAGTTAATGACTAAATTAAAAAGATTTATTTTAATTAATCCCACATTTTTGTTAAGTACAATATTATCTTAATATCTTATCAGTTTTTCAAAAAAATAGTAACTTTTTTCAATAAATTTTATAAAAATTAGTCAAATGTGTTTATATTCATATAAATCAGAAAAAAAAATTAAATCTTAGATATATAAAAAGAACATCGTTGAAATAACTTGAATCCGCAAGGGTAATTCTATACTCATTATCAATTACTTTAAATTTTTTGTTTATATAAAAAATTAATATTATATTTACTCATTTATATTTAGATGGTATTTTTTTATTAAGAAGCAAGGACAATCTCTATCAATCAATAAGAGTCGAGGACAAACAATATAAAGAAGTGTTTTCTATGCTATGACATGATCAATAAGAGTCAAAGACAGTCTCTGTCGTACGTCAGCTTACTACTGAAGAGCTCTGCATTTAGTCATGAGCAATTATACGTGGCGCTTTTTAGAGTTACAAGTTAGTGGGATTTGAAAATTTTGATTTGAGCTGAGGGAGATTTGACGATAGAAAAACCACGACGTTGTTTTATAAATAAGTGTTTAAGAATACTTATATTTTTTTTCTTAATTTTTTTCAATGAATTTGTTATGATTTTTACTATTGTTTATAATTTTTATTATTTTTTCATGTATCATATAGTTTTCCGTGCAAATGCACGGGACAAAAACTAGTTCAATTCAAGTTTAGAACGTATATGATCAAAATTNGCTTATAAATTTTCACTATTTTTAGTTGATAGTCTAATTTCAAACCCAGGACAACGCACGGGCACGAACATTGCATAGGTAGAAGCTTTTCCTCCGGACTTAGCTCCAAAAATAATAATTAGCTCAATTACAACTTACAATATTTAATTATCAAACGATACATACAATTTTGAATTTTTCTTTTAGCGATATAATTATAAAACGTACATTTTTTGTTTAAAGTTCTTAGGTAGGTAACCAACTTGGTGTGGTGAGAATCACAGGGCTGCCTTGCAATTTTTATTTATTTTATATTTTTTTTATGTAGGAGTCCATTAGAAGTGGACACAGGCCACCTGGCCCGCCGGCCCAACTCGGACTCTGTCTATCCGTAAGTTACTACAAGTAGTTGCAGAGAAGTGTTACTTGTGTTTTCATTGTAACTCCCTCCATTTTGAAATATAAGGCGTATAAAAATTTCTCATTTTTTTTTTAAATATAAGGCGCGTTCAAAAATCAAGACAAATTTTTGCATTTTTTTCCAAATATACCCTCATTGTGTTGAAATTAAGGAAGTGTGGAGTGGTTGTGATTAGAGTAAATAAGGTTAATTTAGTCAATTTATTCATTAATTAATGTCTCCTTAATATTTGTGCAATAACCTTAAATGCCTTATATTTCAAAATGGAGGGAGTAGTAAGTAGTTGCACAAATCAAAGGGTTGGTTAACTTAGAAATTATGATGATATTTACGACATTGCCAGTGAATTATATCTCCAAAAATTATCTAAAAAATAGTTCTCTAAAATTAATTTGAAATGAAATAAAAAATAGAAACCATGATTAGGATCAGTGCATTACCATCCAAAAGAAGGAAAAAGATGTGGAACTTAAAATTCTAAACATGAATTAATCTATCCAAAAAGCCATTTTGGACTCTAGTTAAAGGGGGTCTAATGATACGACCAAGGACTATAAATCGTAAGGAACAAAATAAGTGTGATTTTCATTATGATATGAAGAAAGTTTGGGACAGAATAAAGAGTCCATGATCTTGTGTTCCACAAAGATTGTTAAATTGGTCATAAATGTTATAAGGAAAATTTTCTTTTACATCGTGTTGAGTATAGTTTTTGGGAATTAATTGATAAACGAGTAATTCAAAACGTCATGTCATCTCTCAAGGAAAACTATTCGGAGTTTCATTCACTTACTAGATGTGAAGGCATGAAAAGGAAAAATTAAAGTAATAAACATGCTAACAAGATTGCTTGAGATAATTTTAAACTAGATTAGCCTAAGAAATTAAGAACAATTACTTAAAGATGCGAACTTTAACTAAAGATTGGAGCTTTATTAAACATGGAGTCTTTAACACTTGAGAAAAGACAAAAACAAAGAGAAACGAGCTCAATTAAATGCAACTAGAGCCTAGACTCAAACATTTAATTATGATATAATTGATGATATGAGATACCATACCCGGAAGAGCAAACACAATAAA